TTATGGGGGCATTTCTTTACTAGCAGAGACCCTTTATCTATCTTCTCCCCATTTTCTCCACTCTCTAGGGCTAGTTTAATCTACCCACTACCAACAGTATCTCCAGATGATTGGTTGATTTTCAACAATCTCAAGAATACCTACTTTCACATCCCAATTGCCATGGTATATCAGAGGTTCCTGAGATTCTGTCTGAACAACAGAAACTGTCAGTTCAGGCCCCTTCCATTTTGCCCAAACGCAGCCTCCAGGGTGTTCTCCAAAATCCTTATATCCCTGATTGCAGAAATCAGAAAGAAGGGTATTTTCATCTTCCACTACTTGGATGACATCCTGATTTTGGCAAATAATTACCCATCCTTGATTGCCCATCGAGACATGGCAAAATCAATGTTTGAAAACTATGGTTCTGTTCTGAATTTCCAGAAGAGTCAAATCCAATCAACAGCTGGTCTATTTGGGAGCCTGGTGCGATACAAATCTAGGGTTGGTCTGTCTATCAGAAGACAGAAGTTATCAGTTGAGAGAGAAGTTGAGGAGAACACTTTGGCTTCACAAGATCACACCCAGATCTTACATGAACATCCTGGGGTCCCTTTCATCCACTATACGCCTTACCCAATGGGCTCAATGGCATATCCAGATCTCTCAAAGATCCTTCCTGGCTCAGTACAAGCATCTGAATTTGGAGCACTCAGAGTAAAGAAAGCTCTTAGATGATGACTCTCAAAGGAAAACCTGACCACAGGTTTTCCCCATGAGATATCTTTTGGACAATAGCCACCACAGATGCATGCCAAAAAGGATGGCCAGCCCATTTGAACCTGATATACTTTCAAGGGAAATGGCCTGTATTAATCTGAGGAACATCTTCCAACTACCTGGAACTGATGGTGTTTTTCGAGGCCTTGAATCACCTAAAGTCAGAAATCCAACACCATTCATGATAAGGTCTATACATAGGACAGAGGAGATTTAGTCTAAAGCAAAGGAAATGTTTGGGGGTTTTATACATTTTGTAACATTAATCAGAAATCAGAGTTTATACAGATGTTAAAACAGCAATTGGATAAATACTTGCAAAAACATAATAAGTTTAATAAGTGGGCTAATAGCTTTTTGATCCAAGGGAATATCTGACTGCCATTCTGGGGTCAGGAATAAGTTTTTTCCTAGTTTGTTGTACAATTGGAAGTGCTTTAGACTGGGTTTTTTTTGCCTACTTTTAGATCAACAGCAAAAATCAAATGTGAGAAAGGCTGAACTTGATGGACGCATATCTCTTTTTAGCTATGTAACTATGTAATTGGGTGAAACTACAGGTGGACAACACTACAGTGGAAATGTACATGAACCACCAAGGAGGTACTCGCAATCCGAGGATGATACGTATCATGACTTCTGTCATGAAATGGGCAAAAAATAAATTTTCTGAGGCTATGTGCGATATATCTTCCAGGTTCCGTAAACATCAAGGACGATTTCTTAAGCAAACACCAAATCTTTCCCGAAGACTGGTGTCTAACAATTTGGACCCTTCAGATGTTGGTTCACAGATTGACTCTTCCAGAGATCAACATGATTGCAAACTTCCAGAACAGACAGGTTTAGAGGTTCTTATCCAGCACCCTCAAATGTTCCTGGAATTTCTGGAACGAGTATGTGTTTCCCCAATTCCTCTTATATTCAACCTCCTGAGGAGGATTCAGCAGTTCTCCCATATTGGCCACAGAGACCCTAGTTCCCACTGTTGATAAGTTTTTTTCCATGGAGAGCCCACTTCATCTTCCAGTGAGAGAAGACCTGTTGTCTCAGGGTCCTCTGTTCCATTATGTTCTGTAACCCCCAGCTGATGGCATGGAAACTGAAAAAGGTGATTAACGGAGAAGGGATTCTTCAGGCAAGGAAAGGCAATAGTTCTGCTGTATATTACTGTATGTGGAACATCTTCTCAGACTGGGCATCTAACAAAGGTATTTCCCACGAGTCCTTTTCTGCTGTTGATATCCTGGGGTTTCTGCAAGACAGCCTGGACCAGGGTCTCACAATACACAATACCACCAACACATTTTATATTCACTGCAAGAGTAATCTAATCAGATCTAATTAGGCAATACCCCGGACTAGGCTAGGTTAACTACATATGCCCAGATGGTGTTTAATGCTTAGTTTAACAGAGAGACCTACATATCAAGCAGTACTAATATGCAATCTCTACTATGTTATACATAGGTCAGTTACTTTACAAAACCTAGTTCATCCTTGACATAAACAGAGACCCTAAGCATGATTTTGTGCTTAGTGTACCATCATCAGGTATCCTAAAAAGTGCCACATATTTAAACTGAAGAGGGTTTCATTAGAAGAAGCACAGTCCTATGCCAGAACTACCATGAATGGCATGTCACTAGGGGGTCATATTCCTGGAAATATTGTAAATGATGGCCACTTGGTTGGAAACTTTCACATGTCTTTTGTTCAACCACATTCTAACAGCAATTAGGCTGATTGTGGTCCAGCCTGTATCCCCTGATGGTGGTCCTGAAGATTAATACACATTATACAAATTAATAATACACACAATTGTTTGACTAGTGGTAAACTATTTTGAACTGCTTAACTTTTAGAACGCCTATGGATAACCTTTAACAACCTTTAGTGACTTTGACTAACCTCAGGGACTGATATTCTTAGGAATTATATTTATCAAAGCATAATTATGTGGATTTTTAAAGATAACAATAGTTTAAACTTTATGTCACAATTTTGTTTTGATCTTTGGTTAATTTTGTTTTGATCTTACATTGTTTCTCAACATTTGTGAGAAACAGACACATACAAACAAACTAATAATATAATTTATATAAATACACAGATATACAATAAATGTATATATACATCCAGAATTACCTAGAAAGATGGTGGGAGGTACAAGCAGAGATAAAAGAGAGTTAAAAATAAAAGAAAGATAATTCATGTGACTCTTGCACCGAAAGAGGCCCGCACATACAGTCACACAGATGGAGATGCTAAAAGCTGTAACAAGCATTTTACAGATGGGCATCAGAATTCTGCTGTGAGTGGCAGCTTTATACCTTGAAAAGGTGTTTTAATAAAAAACTAAAATGTTTTACACTTGATTCATTGCCTTGTCACTGAAAGAAAACTAACTCTGCTTTAAATTGCCAAAAAACAAAACTGGTGTATTTAACTGTTTGAATGCCAAAGCTGTGCCAGGAGTATAGAGCTGGCACTTAAAAATATATACATTTGCAATGTTTGTTATAAAAATTCCTTTTAAGCAAATTCTTGTCAAAGAATGACACCTGTCAACATTTTTTTTAATGAAATTGATAAATTCAGTAAATTCTGAGATAGATCAGACTTCACTGAAAATCCAAATAACATTCATACAATCCAAAGTTAATTTTTGTATTTAAATAATTATTTCAATAAGGTTATTTAACTTTAGCAAGAAATTTGACTGCTTCACGTTATAAACATTGCAAAGAAAAAAAATAACTAGGCATTTAACAGCAGTATTGTAGAGCCCATTGCCAACCTAGTGGGTTTATTCACTAAGCTGCAGATTGTTGCTAAATCTATGGTGAATTTCATAAGTTTTTCAATTTCAATTTCAAGTTTTTTTTTTCTTTGTTGTTTACAATTCTTTTTTTTTTTTTTTGTAGGCAGTTTTCATTTGCTACATATCACCATTTGGTAATAGACCCTTGTATTTCCCTAGATTTGAAACTTTGAGAAGATGTCAGACATTGACTGGACCACACTGGGTTTGATTTTATTCCTAAGAATCCATCAACTTACAAATATTAGTTTGCATTTTGAAAAGTGAAATAAATTCATAGCACATGATGTGCATTTAAGGTAGTTATTTAGCTATTTACATAAAGTTCAACTAACTGGGTTCTGTTGTTTTAAGCAGACAACTCACAAGAACCTCTGTAATTAGTGGATTTGTTGCGTCAAGGTTCTGCCCATGGATTCCTTGTGCTCATATACAGAAAATAATAAACGTGATGTTTTCTGAGATCAAGGTCATTGCCAAGGTTAGGCAAAATACTCCCATAGCCAAGACCTCAAACCTCAAAAGTCTCATTAAAAATATTTTACAGTTGGCAGGACTGCCCTCGATTCAGTGCTCCTGGCATGCTGATACAATATTTTTAATCTTCATTCCTGGTAGTGACCCATTTTATCTAGCGATTCATTCTAACCATCTTGACAGTTCACACTTGAATCCAAACTATGTTCAATCTTCTATTTCAGTTTGTCCTGAAATTCTGTGCTTGTTATTTTACTTCTTCTCAGTCATGCTGTAGATAAAATGTATTAAGTACACTAAGGACTCATGAATTCCTTTCGCAAACCTGAAAGAATGTATTATATTCATGGCTACTTTTTGATAAGTTGAACTCATGCTAACACTTTACCCTTGATACGCAAACAGTGGATTCCCCACCAGGCTGAAGAAATCTTGTCTCCTGATATTTTTTGTCATAGGATATTCTGGGTCAGTGATTGGCAACCAAAGTAAGAACATATCTCCAATTATTGGAGGAGCTTTAAATTGGCATTAAATAATACATTGCTTACTGCTTGCATTAATACATGATTTCAGTAAGCATATTCATTTGATTTGTTATCACTTGTTTCCGTATTAGGCATTCTAGCACTAGTGAAGGCTAGAACATTGTTAAAGGGTTATTTCAAGCATCATGACCATGAGCTAAATGGCAGAGAATTAAAGCAGTGAGAGTGCGTGATGTATTCACTAAAACTGCTTCTTCAGACTGAGTTTTTTTTTGGTGCTAGGAGTGCTTAGAGTGTACCTTTAAACAGTGTCCGTTCATGGGACCATATGTATTAGGGCAATTGGCCTGTATTTGTGGGAAGGGTTACCCGGCTTAAATACTCAGCCTGCCCTCTCATCTGGGCCATCTTAGATCGATTGCTTCGCCTTACAGGATCCCCGCTTTTAGTTCCAGTTGGACGCTGTTCACAGGCTTCCTGCTCTAAACTACCGCAGCCAGCGCTACATGGCTTCTCGGACCGCCCAGTCCCCTCAGTCTCTCCCTGGCAGGCAGTCCAACACAAAGCCCGCCATCCCAAATGGCACTAGGGGCGAATTTAGCTGGTACAGGTAAGGGCTCTCGCGGCCACTTAGTTCCACCCCATCCGGCTTGCCGTTTACCGCATGAATGTCACGAACTCTGGATTTTTGCTGGGCTACCACTCCCAGTACTCACAGCCATATTATTTATATACAATAAGAATGTGCCATAATGATGCACAAACTATATCTTAACCTGAAGTTGCCACAAAGATTTGTTAATGCTACATTTGCTAATGTATTAAAGAGTCAGTCCCTACAACTATGCAGCGGGCAACTAATTTTGCACTTTAAGAATGGTGGCTGATTGTTTTACTTATGTTATATCGCCGTAGTTTCCATTGTATTTTCTGCATGATCTGCATATCTACTTGGCCTCATCTGGGACAAGTACATATTATACAAGCTCCTGAGCATGTTAGGAATTTTGTTAATACCTTGTCATACCTTCGGTCATACTAAGTACTAAGATAGAACATATTTATGTTTTACAGTTAATTTGACCCTCCTGGGTATAGGCAATCAATTTACAGCCATTTTTCATGCCTTGTCAAATCATGTTTTTATTTTCCAGCTGTTGTTGACCCTCGTCTGGTCCAGTAGGCCATCTTTAACAACCTTATTCAGCTTCTGCGAGCATTTCATCACTGGTACATACGCCCATCTATTTGGCCTCATGCCAGTTCCTCAGTCAGGCCTTTTGTCTTCACCTAAATTAAATAATCCTACCCCAGTCACTCTGAGGATTCTCACCTTAAACTATCCCCATGAAGGTACATCAGATGAATCAGTCATACGTTAATCTATTCTATTATTCTGACATCAATCCCACCCTGGCTAATATATCTACCTACAATGTTGATATATGGCTTTATACACACACGGTGTCCTGACACTTGTCTATCACTCTACAATTAGTGGTCTCCATAAGTCGACCAAACAGCAAAAGGAAACACTTTCCTGTCTTGTGCTGTTTCTTCACCCCCCTTCAAAAGCAGTTGTATCAATAGAATATACCTAAATATTATTATATAATGCATGCTGTCATTTCCTTTCCCCTTTTGGGAATTTAGCAAGCACTTACCTTTCTTAGGTTAGGTTGCTTCATTCTGCAACTGAGTTATTGGTTGGTATTCACCAATCCCTTACATATTTCACCCCATGGGTGTATTTAGCTGTCTGATCTGACTATATCCCAACAGTTCATACCTTATGAGCAGGTAAGTTCAACCTACCCCCTCCCTTTCCAATTACACCACACTCATACCCATTCCTAGCATGTTTAGTGGAACTAGCTTCGATTCATTAACATTCAGTCTATCCAAGGCACCAGCCCCTCATGCTGATTCCCCTACCTCACCACGGAGGTTCAACCCACCAGCCACTTCATAGTTAGCACCTCAATAGACTCAACTAGCGTTTGTTAGGCAGGGCCTCAACTGTCACGGTCATCTATTTGAAACTTTTACTTCACCAAGAGGCCTACAACCCACCACTACATCGTAGTTACGTACTTTGACCCAATCATACTTAGCAGGGCCTCACCTTCCCCCAATTAGTTAATTGCTTCGCCTTTGGCATTCGGATAGCAAGCCAATTCCTATATCAGATTATGTTGGGAAGGAGGTTATTCCCCATAAGTAATAGTATATTATTCTATTACACAGTATGTCTCAGGCTTCTGATATTGGAAAAGATCTAGGTCTTCTGGATTCCCCCCCTACCATGGCACACTGGCCAGACCTACTTCCCCTATGGAGGTTTAAGATCCCGCTTCTCCTTATTCACTATGGTCTTGGACCATCCAAAAAATTGCAACCAAACTACGTAGCCATGGCATACCTTTCTCAGCTATGGCCAGGAATACCTTTAGCAGTAGCTGTGGCATACCTTTATCAGCTACGGTCAGCTCAGCCAGGCACCCCGGGACCAAGTTCCTGCACTCAAGGGAACATATCTGAGAACTTGGCAGAAATGCATACCATGATATCGTCTCTCTTGACCACACACTCGGTCATCCAGAAACTTGAGAATTTGGAAGCCCCAGCAGCTGGTATCCCTTCCACCACCGTTGTCACCCCTGAGTTGCTTGCTTCCCATCCAGGCTTTCAGGGTAATGTTACTTTATCCAATCTAATTTAACCTACGCTGCTACCACCACTCACATCATCACCCCCTCACACCTGGTGCCCCTTACCCTTTGTAAAGACATTCTGGATGGAAAAGATGTTAACCTTGTGTCTTTGCTCAATGCATCTCAGAACCTTGTTGAGAACAAAGCATTCTGCTATGGTGACATTTCAGTTGCTCTCAAAGCCAGAGATCCATGGTTAAACAAAAAACATCCATCCCAGAATTAGCATTTGAACTGTATAGGGATGTAATTTGTTTACAACACCCTCACCTTGGAGAAGAGATGGATCTTTACTTGCACAAATTGCTAGGATTGGGGCATAAATATGGTGGTCACGTATTCTATGACTATCATAGATCTTTCTCTGCTAAACTTTTCTGCTGTCACTTTACAGGGCTCAGACCCCCGTCATGCGGTATTTGTGCATCTATTTCTCATTCTACCAATCTGTGTCCCAGTGAAGCTGACTCTCCTATCACTAGGAAACAAATACAAAAAAAAGATAACCGCACCTAGAATACAATAATGTCCCTAAGTGGAGTCACATATAGATCATATATACATACTTTTTTTTATTAGATCTTTGGCTGTTATACAGTGTATGATATCTCAAAGAGAAAGGAGAAAAAAAGAGACAATGATAGTGCAGTATATCTTTAACACAGTGAAATAGAGTGCTATAACAAAAACTCACTCACAATTTACAGAGCTACAAAGAGCTCTGCTGTGTTGGATGTAGATGGTACAATCCCCGTCACAGGATATCTCTTCTACCACTAGTCAGGCCTTATCTGGAAGCTCCAAATCTGAACAACAGCACTGAAAGATAAGTTGGGCAGACTTATCAAGTTCCTCAGAAAAGCACAGGTGCAATAGCTTTAACACAGGCAGCTGTGGCTGTAGTGATTGCTGTCTGTTGCATGTTTGCTCCTTGTATTTACAAGCTCATGTTAGGTCTTTGTACCCAAATAGGTTGTTCCCAAATAAATGACGTACAGAATTCAATATAGACAACCTGACTTTCACCTAAAAATCATCCCTCCCCTCACTTGGTAGACTTCCTCATCACAAAGTTTTCATGAAGTTTTCACACCGGTATCACACTGCCATCAGGCTCACTGGAATATCACAAACTACAGTACGCATTACTCGAACCTAGCACATTAGATTTGCTTATTAAGCAAGAAATTAGCCAGGGTTTCATGCTAGGCCCTTTCACTCCCCCTCCTCCCCGTTTGCAAATTGGCGTACTCATCCTATTGGTATTGCAACAAGCAAATTCACAAATAAAAAGAGAACGATAATCGACCTCTCTGCTCAACATTCTTCTGTCATCGCAAGCATTAACTCGCTTATTCCTTCCAATAAATTTTCTCTCCATTATGCCTCGGTAGACAACGCAATTCTAGCCAAACTGCAGATGGGCAAAGTGGCATGGCTTAGTAAGACGGATATGAAAAATACTTTCAAACTACTACCCATCATTCCTTCATTGTGGCATCTACACGACATATAATGGAGAGAAAAATACTACTTCACTACCAGATTGACCTTTGAAGCTAAAAGCAGCTCCTCCTCAATGTCATCAAATGTCCAGTTGTGATCCATTACCCGGATGACTTCTTGATAATTGAGGACGAGTCTATCGTTCCTCAAAGCCTGAACAACACACAAGCTCTGTTCTCTTTTCCTCTCTCTCACAGGAGAAGACTGCTGGTCCTACCACTTGCCTGTTTTTTCTAGGTATACAGTTGGATACTGTCCTTTTAGAGGCCAGCCTCCCCACGGACAAACTCCTGAGAATCAAGGTTGACTTACATGAATTCAAGAGGATCAGAGCTTGTTCGCGGTATGACTTACAAACGTTATTAGGCACATTTAGCTTTGCTATACAGATCATCCACATAGATATAGCACACTTTATGTTTTAAGCCATTTCTATTGCTTTTTATGGTTTCCTACGCCCGTGAGTTCACTATAGGTTCCTCAGCTGAAGCACCTCAATGCTTGAAATTCATAGATCTTATCAAAACAGACTATCACTACAAGATTATCATCACAATAAAACCAACCAAACAGGTCCAGCAGTAGAAATCCCATTCTACTCTTAGGAAACAAATGGTGCCCGGTCTCTGTATTAGATAAATTCAGCCAGCCTTTCACTTCTAATACAATCAATACACCTTTGTTATCCATAAATGGGAATCCCCTAACTACAACCAAATTCATGTTGTACGTTAGAACTCTATTCCTGAAACTAGGTTTCGACCCATAAACATTCATGGGGCATTCTTTTAGGATAAGAGAAGCTTCAGCTGCATCAAGCAAGAATGTTTCGGTTTACATCATTAAAAAACTAGGAAGATAGAAATCATCTGTATATGTAAGATATATACCACAACCCGAACTAGAATTAAAACAAGCATTTAAAAGTTTGGTGTTATACTATTTTGTAATAAATATGCAATAAAGTGTGCAATTTATTTTGAAACCTTTGCCCTCTTTATTTATACAAGCTTACCCAAACGTCGGTTTCGGCACGACACAACTGACTTAGCTTTATTCTCGGCCTTTGTCCCCGACTACAACTAATGTATATTAGATATTGGATAATGGTTTAAATCTTTCACCACCATTATACCACAAATTATTTAATCCAGTACAAAACATAATTCACATATAAAGACATTTATAATAGTCCATGGGAAACTATCCAGGAAAGTGAATTTATGAGTGACATCGATGACTAATTACAGTGATTCATAACAAATCTCTCATTTGCTTTTACTTCTTAACAAACAATAAATAAAGTAGCAATACTATGCATTTTGATTTTCTCCAGTAAAATTCCACGGACTTACCTGATTCTGTGCAGGGATGCTGTGTTTCACTTTGCAGCAGACTGCACATATCTCTGGGAGGTTGATTGTAGATATTGAGCCTTCATCAGAACACAAATATACCATAGTAACTGCTGTACAAAGTTCTGAATAACCTGCACCATCTGTTGTTTTCCCTCTGGGAAAAATACCATATTGAGCATTAAAACGCATATATATTTCTTGGTTTTATAGAAATCCAACATGGGACTATAAATATATGTCCATACAGACTTTCATCATTATTGCAATCATAACAAAAAGCTGTATACATATATTTTAATCAACTTTGAGTCTGATTTACATCAACCCTTGGAGGAACACATTTTATTAATATTCCATTATAATTTTTAATAGAGCACTAGTGAAGCCCCCTGCACTTTACAACACAATAATGTTGACAATTAACAGACACAGTATTTCTAAAACTTAGTAGAACATACATATAGTTAAGTATTGGTAGATGATGGACCCGCAACTGTTACAAGCTTACAGTGTAGCCGGACATGGTGGAAAATAAAGAAAGAAGGTAAACATGACAAAAATTCTGATCTTTTCCTCTTGTCACCCCAAATACCACCTAAATCAGTATACTAAATATCTCGTAAACATAGAAAAGCTTTATGAACATAGAAACAACAGTGAAGGCAAGAAAGGGGGAGGGGTGGCCCTGTATGTGAAGGATAGCATAAAATCTAGCCTAATAAAAGTTAGTGAGGCTAACATAGATCTGTACTTGTACCCATTCTCTTTAATATTTTTATTAGTGATATTGCAGAAGGTCTTGATGGTAAGGTATGTCTTTTTGTGGATGATACTAAGATACGTAACAGCGTTGATGATCCAGGAGGGATAAGCCAAATGGCAAATGATTTAGATAAACTATAAAAATGGTCAGAGTTGTGGCAACTGACATTTGATGTGGATAAGTGCAAGATAATGCATCTTGGACGTAAAAACCCATGGGCAAAGTACAGAATATTTGATAGAGTCCTAACCTGAACATCTGAGGAAAGGATTTAGGGGTGAATATTTCTGATGAATTAAAGGTAGACAGACAACGTAATAGAGCAGCAGGAAATGCTAGCAGAATGCTTGGTTGTATAGGGAGAGGTATTAGTAGTAGAAAGAGGGAAGTGCTCATGCCATTGTACAGAACACTGGCCTCACTTGGAGTATTGCATAGGCGTGCGCAGCCTAATGTATAAGGGTGTGCACGCTAAAGCACAAACACACATGCTGCATATATATATAATAAATATATATATATATATATATATATACACACACACATATACCGCTGTGTGTGTGTGTAAGGGTGCTGTGCGTGTGGGGGTGCTGTGTGTGTGTGTGGGGGGGCACTGTGTGTGTGTGTGGGGGCGCTGTGTGTGTGTGAGCATTGAGGTTCATAAAGCTTAGAGATTTTGATTTCATGTTCCCATGTTACTTACAACAGTTACTCAAAAATCTGATACTCACTATAAAAACAAAGGGCTTACATTCCCCCATTTATTTAGAAAGAGAAGAGTCACAAAAATGCCCTTTGTTCTCAATTTTCTTTAAACTAGCAGCAGATCCCCTACTCAATATAACATGGTTGTACTATTTATTTTTTATTTAAGAATTTCCATTGTGTGTCAGATAGACACAGCTAGAGTATACCATACATTCATTTAATCCCCACTGTGCCACAAGCACCGGTTTATGAGAACGTACTGAACTGTCAAAGGAATATATAAGCATTTATGCACTCATCAGGTTGGCTCTGCTGATGTCTGAGCTCACATGCTCGCACCTGGAACATCATGGGGACAATAACATCGCTCTTGACATAGAAGTTCTGGAGGAGTAAGACAATAGATTTACTGAGGTGAGGAGATATAAATCTGTTTTATATCCATATCTGTTCACCAGAAACATAGTCACATTTCCGCTCTATCTACTTAGGAATCGATCTGCTAACTACCCAAAATCGACATACCTGTTAATCACCATTCACAAGGACTAGATAGATTTGGGGCATTTCTTTATTTGATATGTTGGAATTTTAACAGAAAAGTCAATACTCAATAATGATAAGTACTCTTGAAATCTGTGATTTGTATTAATACAAGTATATAGAGGAGTATATTATCCATTGAAACTCCATCTCCAAAAGTACTGTCTATTTGCATATATGTATAATATATAGTACTTCTGATATAAGTAAATATAAATGTACCAAAGTTTACTTACATTTTTTAGACATTATCAATGTCTACCTTAAACATTCTAGCATACAGACATAATTGCTTCCTATTCAATCTGGCGATACGAATGCCTTAATATCTGTCAAAAACTGCCCACATGCAATTTTTCAAATGTTTTCCTATGCTTATGACTAAACCCAGATGTTAATATGTATCAATCTGAAATTGAGGATTTACTACTGTCTGCAGGATGCAAGCTCATAACTCATACCAGAACATAAATGAATGTAAAATCTGTGCTCAGCTTGAGGCTTGACTGTAAAGAAGTTATGTCAAACCCGTGTCATACTTTTTCTATCAAAAATAGACTCTCCTCACTTCCTTTATTGAACATGGAAATGATTTTCCAAATGCTGGTTTTCAAACACAGGGATCTAAAATGTTCAAAAGTATTACAAAATAAATGCAAGCCAAGCCCAGATTAGTCTTTATGTTAGGGTTCTGTAAAGTAGGCCTCACTTCACAACCCAGATCCAAGCAATACCAAGCCTCTTCATTTGTCATCTCGCTGAAACTTTTTTTTCTTACAGTTTTCAGCCATTCATGTAGTTTTAAAAAAACGAAACATTTTTATTGATTAGAAAGATTGTTATTGATTAGAAAGATTGTACACGATAATGAATATAAGCATGACAAACGAGAAAGTTGCATTATAAAACAATAGTGTTGTATACAAAATAATATATGTTACAATATTGTATATCTATATAGTTATAGCGAAAGTAGGTTCATGATGTACCATAGTTCCATTTAAAGTGAGAATGGTATGCAAATAAAACATCGGAGTATATAATACATTGAGTGAGAAATTAGGTAAAGGAATTAACTGTATATGAATTTAAAAAAAGATGTTGTTATCTAGGTAAGTGAAATCATATTCAATATGAGTATTAGGATAATTAGATATTAATATGTTGTAGTAACCATAGAGACAATCTATTATGTTAGAGTAAGAATATTATTTCTTTTTCCTCCCCCTACCCCTTATCTTTCCATTCTCATCTTCTCCACTGCTCCTCTTGACTTTCATTAACTCCATTTCACTTTTCTTTTCCCTCACCCCTGACAATAGTAACTTCATGGTTTCAGTGGATCTGTAAGTTGATAATCTCTAATATCTTTTATGTGGACCATTAACTGTGACTAGCAACAGGTAAGAAGTACATTATTTTACTTTTGATCTAACATCTGTCTAACTGGGTTGGTCTTAACTCCCTAATATGTGTCCCTATTCACAATTATCTATCTATTACCATAGATCTGTATGTTTAGTGTTGTGTCCCATCAAGGATGCCTGCAAAGCTTCTGCAGACAGAATTTCTTTGACCGTATCTAACCATTGTTCTAATGTTGGAACCCTTATTTGTTTCCTGAAGGCAGGTACTAAGGTTATAGTGTTGCAATATGGACTTTTTATATTGTGCTATCGAAGATGGTGTGGAGTGTAATACCATGTGTTCCAAATCAAAAGGAGTATATTTCTATAGTTTTAGTCTTGACCACTTCCCAGAACGGTACTATAATGGAGCAATACCACCATATACGTCTAAATGTTCCTTTGTCTCTTCCACATCTCCAGCATGTCCCTGGTACTGTTGAAAATATCCTATGGAGAAGGTCTGGAGTCCTGTACAATTGGGTTAGTAGTTTATAGTTGACTTCCTGGAACTGGAGCGAATCAAGGTTTTATTCATTGGATATTGGAAGGTTTTACCTGTTATATCCTCCTATTGCTTTTTGAAAGCTCCCTGTAACTTTCAAATACTGACTAACGCTTGGAAGATACTCAACCTCATTTAATATACCTTTGTCACCATATTATTTGTTATTATAACAATGTATCCATTTATACCTGTAGTTTGCTACTGTAAATCTTTGTGCATGAAATGTATTGCTATCTTCATTGAATGTATTCCACCAATATATCATATGTACATAGTTAATCATACGTGGGGTTATCAAATTTGATTGGTACATTTTTCAATTGTATACAACAAAGTCATATGAACCCACCCCTCCATCATTTGCACCTCCTGGCTGTAAATACCTTTATATAAGTGTCTTCATCCCTGTTCCTTAGGGATGTTCCTTCACCTTTCCACACCCACACTCAAGCAATACTGAGTCTTTAAATTTTCTCTTACCTCTTAATAAGCCCTTAATGTGTTCGTAAAGTCTTAATTTAAGTGTCTATATAATCAAATCTGGGTTTGTGCTCATGGTTCTCCCGGTTTCCAACAGAGTGTAGGTGCACCTGACCTATGAGTTAGCAAGCCCCAGAAATTCTCTGAATACTTGAACAGAACGTCCAGGCCAGGCACTCAAAAATCTTATAAAGTGCAGACTTTAATTAGAACATCAAGCCAAAGTGACAATGTTTCAGCAACCAGCTTATGTGGCAGAAAGTCTTGACAAAGGTTACATCCCGTGGCCTTAATGTTGTCACCTTGGCTTGATGTTCTTAATTTAAATGTTGGTGACATTAAAAAGGACATCATGACTTGCCATTTACATAAATCAAGAATTTCACTAAGAATTATAGCTAAATACATTTCCTGAGCACCTCACCCTGTATACTGATAAGACTAGAGTGACAGAATTTATGGTGAATTAGTTGACTGGCAGAAGCTGTAGTTGCAGTCTGCAAAGAATAATCATCTACGTGTCTGTACATGTTTTGTATGCATGTTCTGAAAGTATTCCTTTCCACAGCAGCAGGAGTATAAGGGAGCTGCAGAGCAATTGTTTAAAAATAAATTAATTAATTAGTGTAATATAAAGAAACATAATGAAGAAATGTGTGTTGTAGAAAGGAAATAGCATAACACAGACTTCACCATTGTATATCATCTATATATGTAAATAGAGGACACACACATTGACTGAAAACACATCAGTATGAATATGATACTTATTTTACAAACTTATAAATGTGTATGAAACTATTTTCAATCAAGAACAAAAATATGTTATATTGTAAATAGCCAACCAAACTGATTGAATAATAGTATTGAGAATTCTTTGCAGCTATTTTACAAAACATATTCTTCATTAAATGTAACTTTAATGCTGTATTTAATGCTTTATATAGTTTATACACATAATCTTTAAAGGTGGTGTATGTTTTACTGCATTCAGTAATGTACTACACAATATGTTTTACGGCAACATTTCTACAAACTGTATTGTATTTTTCATCTGATAATAGAATGTTATTATCTCACGCCATAAGAATTTTATCATTCAATGTATCAGTCCTTAACTATGAGACAATTAATTATTTGGAAAAAAAAAATCTAAGAATTTTATTTGGTAATAAAAATATAGTATGATTTGAAATAGCTGGTAACAAAATCTCAAATGATTATATACTGAAAGAAGAGAATATGAGAGCTCTGCAATCTAGCGGAAACAAAAGAAGAACGACATCAAGGGCAAAAGGTTAAATTAGATATTTCTGGTTCTCGATGGTGTGTAATTATATTCTGTAAGTCTGACGGAGTTGATCGAGTTCCATTTCTTTGCCAGAAAAGCATTATGGGCAAAATGATAAGTGTTACTTAAAATGATCTAAACCATGCTACCATGTCAAGTTCTAATGTTCAATGCTGGTTTAACTAAAAAAAGCCATAAACCTTTTTATTTTCCCTTTGACTTATTTTATTGACCTCACTGTCTTTGAGGCTGATTCATTTAGTATTTGCAGCTTCTGCCTTTATACAAGTTAAATGGGCATCTACAAATGTTTTCCAATGTGTTTATATATCTCTCATGTTCTCCTGTACAGATTATTTATAAAGAATTCAAAACAAAGGTTAGTTACTGATGGCAACTTGTAATTTCTTCTTGAGGAGTGCCTTGGAAGCTGCCATGGAGTTGGGATAATGGTGGGTACTGGTTGCTAATTGCCTTCTCCTGTATGAACATTGTGGTGCACAGTGTGATATAGTGGTCAGACACCGTCCCACCCGTCAGTAATAAAATAGGTCTTGTAACAGGAAGTGCCTGTTTGCAAAATGTATTGTGACCTCTTAAAATGAGCTCAACTGAAATCAATGTGAATTACTGTGAGTTTTTTCAGACAAGTTCAGAATAACTCTTTGAAATACAAATTCATTAAAGGAACTCCTAAATGGCAGAGAATTTAGCAGTGAGACTGCAGGGGCATGATCTATACACCAAAACTGCCTTATTAAACTAAAGTTGTTTTGGTGAATATAGTGTTCCTTTAAGCACTCCATGTAGATGACCTGGGATGCTTAATATAGAATATTTGTGAATAGTTCCTCTATGTATCAGATTTTTTTGCCACACAACCTCTATCCAGAACAAATTCAATTCTGATATTAAAATCAACAAACTGCAGGAAACATTCCCTCTGCCAACCTTTTGTCAGTTCAAACCAGTTGTTGCAGATTTGATGGCTGGAAATTCATGTTGTGAAAGTCTTGTTTCACTACATTCCAAAGTGATTCATTGGACTGAGGTCTGGTGACTTGCTGCCCATCCTCCTCACTGTTCAATGTACTGTGCATTCAGAGATGCACTTCTCCATAACAGTGGTTATTTCAGTTACAGTGGTTGTCTTTTACCGGTCTGGATATTTTTCTCAGAGTTATCTAATTAAGAAGAAGTTGCATCTATAGAACTGCCACTAATTTGGTGTTTTATTTGTTTTTTGTTTTATTCCCTGTAAACATTTGAGACAGTTTCTGAGATATTCAAAGGTATCAACAATCATGCCATGGCCAAGGTCACATAAATCATACTTTTTCCCCATGCTGAAGTTTTGTTAAAACATTAACTGAACCTCTTTTTGCAATAAAGTGTCCGCTGGGAGTGTATAAAGGTTGCAAGGCACAAAATTCTAGTAGTAGTTGTCTACATTTACCAGCCAAGTTTAAAACATATTCATCACCTCAAAACTATGTGAACAGGATTTTTCTTTTACTCATGGTGTCAATGCGTGGTAATGCCGAAATAAGTATGCAAAGTGTTTGTGTGTACAAATGCATGGATCCATTTATTCGACTTGTGCACAACAAGAAATATTGGCCTGGCCAATGCGTTTTCTCCAATTTTCTCGGGACCCCTGAATTTAGCTTAATGTTGGTTTGACCTAGCAGAATTTCGGAACCAAGATTCCAACTTGGGAAAACGAATCAGAAGAAAAAAGGGCATGAAAATGGACCAGTCAGTGTGCTGCAAAATATAAACATAATACAATATAATGAACCAGTCAGTGTGATGAAAAATATAAACATAATGCAATATAATGTATATATTCTGCAGTACACTGATAGGAGCATTTTCCTGCCATTCGACACACAGATAGACAAGGTTTTTTATGGAGGGGCAAAATCTGGTGAAAATAACCAAATTCTAGCCATAATGGCTCCAATAGTTTGAAATAATTTGTGCCGAGCTAATGTGCAGCAATCGCCCAGAAGCATTAGGTGTCCGAATTAAAATCAGTGCTTTTGCATCCCAAATCCTATACAAATTATAGGATTTGAAAAGTTCAGAAAGCACTGATGTTAGTACAATTTGGAACTCAATGTATCTAGTAGGATGCACATTTAAATGTAATGCTCACCTGCTTTTTTGAAAGTGAATTGATCATTTAAATTGCTCTTTGTCCAGTGCCAGCATTACCAGCCACTGGGCAAATAGTTACAACAAAAACCTAGACAGTGCGAGGGTTAATTTTGTGGTACCTGACCAGAGCTTGTTAGCCAGCCACCGTATTAAAACAGCTAAACAAAATCAACAAATGAATAATAAACCCTATGGGGATCAATTAGAAATCCATATCACTGTAGGGGATGATTAAAACCTCTTTCTAAGGATTGCCTTACCATTTGAATATATCGCACTATGTTTATGTTTTTTTTATCTTCCATATCTCTGATGAGATTCTGAGGCGTAACCTCCATTCTTCTTGAAAGTTACTCTCATCACATGCCAGGAAGAGAGACTCCTGGTATGGCTGTGTTGCTTCATATAACCTCTGTACCTAACAAACTGTACATTAGTTTTGTTCTACCCAGCAGTCGTATTTGGAATATGGCCAGGTAACAGGTAAGTTTGTCCTTCCTATCCAAGACAATTGCCAAGGCAATTTAACTCACTCTTCATGGAAATTGTGAGCCCTGATGGTTGCATTGAATAACTGTTAGCTTAACTTTAGCTAGAACACTTTCACCACCCAGATTTTTGTAATATGTTTGTTTTCATACATTTAAGGGTCTCTTTGCAAAAAAATCCTATCGCAGTGATTTTACAAAACCCTAGTCTTCCTAAACTACCAGAGAGGAGAAATATCTAATTTTGGGATTACTCGTAAATAGCAGCTTTGATGCAAACCCATTTATTACAAACAGTGAACACAATCACAGTGCTTGACTCGGTAATATTTAGTTCAATTTAAAACTATTGTTCTTACTATAATTATTCAGATTTTGAGTGATCCAGTTTTATTTGTGGCTGAGATGAGCAAGGAAATTGCCAATACATATTACATACAATTGTTTTTTTCTTATTTTTTTGTTATCTTATATTTATCCCTAAACTATAAACATTGTTTGATAAGGTTATTTTAAGAGTATCTTATGGTGTTTCTGTTTGTATGCAGGCATGAATAATCCACAAGAGCCACAGGCTATGTCATTTTCTATATTTATTTCCAGAAAGATTGGCTTATGAACCTGAATGTACCATTTAACAATGTGGGTCGGAATATTTGCTTGATATTATGTATGTATTCACACTGGGACTTGCCTATGGGTCATTGTAATATATCTGATGAGATTCTTGATTTTTTTTCCCCAGGTGTAATCATTGGAAATTTTCTGAAATAGCTTATGCGTTTTCAGCATGACTTTATAGGCTATGACTGAATAAATGTTTTAGTCTGGGAAGAACTATAATTTTACTCTCCTAGCCAGGAAATTTCTATGGCTATCCAGTTTCTAAAGGCTTTTGCTTTCCCCTTCAAGTGTAATTTCCCTTAACCCTATTATTTAAATAGATATATTTGGTAGATAACTTATGTTTATTCGCAAATGTCTTATACTTGAATTTTGTTTTTAGAAGGTTTAGACTTGGTTTTTGTATTGATATAATCTCTTTTTAAACATTCAATGTATAATTTGATACATTGATATATCTTCAGTCATGATAGTCAACAGGATGTGGGCAAATTGGGCAGACTAGATGGGCCGAATGGTTCTTATCTGCCGTCACATTCTATGTTTGTATGTTTCTATGTGTTCTCAATAAGGACCATAAGAACTAAAATTCAATATGTATCAGACTGGGAAGTCTATCTCCAAAATGATGACCATCTGCTATACAAGCTATACATGTTTTTGTATCTTTAAACTGGATTAAACTGGATTAAAAAAGGCTAATATTTTTACATTATTTGAGTTTCTTACCTTTTGCTTTTTGTTCATTACATTACGTGTTTGCGAAAGAATAAACCTCTGTTTGGGGCACCGCATACACCACTGCTAGAGATACCCAAATCATTATTAATTTAACATGTAAGCAGTGAATAACTTACTTTTATCTCTCCTAAATATTGTATTTGTATTGTATTTACAAATACATTGTATTGTATTTAGTATCTGGAAAACTCTTAACACTTAACATTTTTATCAAGGTTGGGGCGTGGCGAAGTATGTGTGCTTTCCAAACATATTAAGAATTTAAAGGGACACTAGAAGCACCAGAACCACTACATTTTAATACAGTGGTTTTGGTGCAAAGGTACTGTCCCTGCAGTCTGAGAATTTTAAACAATGCCTTTTCTGTAATACGATGCCTCTAGTGTTTGTCACTCAGACTGTCCTTAAATGCGCTTCATATTGTGGTTCTCAATTTGTGCATGACCGGCACTTAGCATGAAATCACTGAACACTCTCCATAAAGATGCACTGAGATAATCATGCTAAGGAAAAAAACCAATTTTGAAATCTACAATAGATACCTCACTAAGCTGACCAAACTAATGACTATTTACCTGGTTAGAAATATGGTTAATAGCATGGACTTTTAAAAAAAAAAAATTTTAAACTTGGAACTTTTTCAGGTCATTACATTCATTTTTTTTTATCCGCAGGAACAAGACAATGAATATCTATTTGGCAAGATTGAAGATTAACCTATTTTTCGAACCTATAATAATTAACTGTGTAGACGGATTAGATTAACGAATGTCCAATGGGCAGAGTTACGGCTAATGACAAGAATATTATATATATATATATATATATGGATAAGGGTATTTAGCAATACTTGCAATTTAATTAATCTACACTGTTTTCATATATGGTGTTTAACATGAGTTATGGTCTAAGACAATGCTAGTTTGGCATAATGTTGGTAGTTATGCAATTACGCCACAACATATGGGAATTGTACACTATTTCTTGTTAAGATGCTTTTTCTTCCTTATTCTCCTCTGTTTTGGATATAATTAGCCACATAGGATATCGGTAAACTCTATATATGATGTCTTTGATGGGTATTTGAGTATGGCACATTAGGTATATATAAGAATGGTATAAAGCACATTTGCAATTTAGTGAATCTACACTTTTTAAAAATATTTAGTTCGACATGAAGGAACTTTATAGAGATTTTTCACATATTTTGTATTAACACAAGCTTTGATCACAATCGGTATAATGTGATATTGTTAGTATACTTTTCCAATTATGGAGTTTGACATGAAGGAATTTTACAAAGACTTTACACATGTACTTTGTAGTAACACAAGCTTTGATCACAATAGTTATGAAATTATATTATTTAGTATTAATAAGAATGGAAGTAAGCTGTGACAAACTGCCATTTGCCACTGGGCATTGGAGAGGACTGATTGCCAGCCTCCTGCCACATGACTATGGACCTGGGATAAATGGCATTTGAAAACACTATTTGTGCCATATGACAAAACTGGAGATTGTGCACAAATATGACTATTGTCCATATTTTTTAATGATTCCCTTCATTTGTTGCACTGTTCCCCATGTGTTTCATCTGTTGGTTTGGCTGGATAGACTATCAGACAAACTGTGGAGTTACTGGGTGGCCACCATTTCATGTATCAGAGGCACATGGTGAGAACAATGGATGGCGGCCATTTTAACTCACAGACACTGTTTTGACTTTTCTACACGGTGCCATCTCGCCGGTAGAGGCTCTATGTGCCAGTACAGTCAGTTCTACTTCACCCTCTTATTGGGGGAATCTGCTACAAGGGATTGCTATGCTCTGCATACTCCCCTGAGCTTTAATCACTTAGCTCTTTTTAGAGCTTGTTCTTGATACGCTCTCCTACACGGTCCTGGAGGACAGAAGCTGATCCAGGGTGTAGGGAAGACGGCGGGACTCCAGTTAAGCTACGGTGGTTGTGGAGTCTTCGGTGGTTGTGGTGTCCGGGTGCGGTGCTTGTGGTCATCGGCGCAAGCTAGGAAGCATTCATCAATGGAAGGTAATCTATTGGAGTACAGGGAATTCTGTTACATAAGCCATCCATACATGAGTAGTAATATGTACAATTTAATAATATGGATTTGGAAAAAAAATATGTTTTCTCTCTTCACCTATGATAACATTATGGTCTATTAGACATTACGTGGGTGTTAATGGGGTGAATAAGGTTCGAGATCCTGGTAAAAGTAAGATAATATATGAGGTAAAGCTGTTTTTGATTACAATCGGTAGGGGGAGCTGGACTATGGGGATAGTAGGGAAATTTGGAGATAGAATGGCCAAGGGAGGGGAAAGGAGAGGGAGGGCTTGTATTATCATACTCCAGAGCTTGAGAGGCATGTTGAGCAGAGTTAGATTATCAATTCGATTTAACATGGTTCTTTAGGTTAGTGTGGTCCGATATCCTAGACAAAACTAATCGATCTACTGAACGTTATAGTGTTAATCATAGGTCGGATATTTGGAAAATTGTTTGGTTTCTGATGAGGTTTGGAGACTTTTCTCCTCTTGCCAGTGTCCTTATTTCTGCGATTATAGGCAGGTCTTGTTCAGGAGGTTATAAGTACATATGTCTCCTCATTGGACTATCAGGAAGGGATTTGCTTCCCTTCCTGGATTATGTTCCACATTTTATATTATATTTTGGAATTACAACGATTGAGGGAGGGGAGAGCAGAGGGAGATTTGTACTATTATAACTAAGAGTTGTAAAATATGTTAAGTATAGTTAGATCAGTAATTCGCTGTGATATGGCCTTATGAGTTAGTGTGGTCCTATATTCTAGACAAAGTTAATAGATCTATGGATTGACATATGATTGATTATAGGCTAGATATTTGGAATGCCGTTTGGTTTCTGAAGAGTTTGGAGGCCTTCCTCCTCTCGCCAGGGTCTTAATTCCTGCAGTCATAGGCAGGTCTCGTTCATTGGGCATTTCCAGATGTCGATAAAATCCATGAAGCATGGCGACTCACCTTTTACAGTGGCTAGACAGGGACCTGGGAAATCAATCATGGCTCACTCTAGAACAGGAGGATAGCCCCATATATAAATTGTCTATTCTTTTTTGGATGGGTATTTTAAAACTACGTGAATTGGATACCAAGCATTTTTCTAATAGAATATTGATAGATGTGATTAATACCTCAAAAATCTTAAATAAAAAATTGAAATTGGAAGACAAATTACTATATGGGGTTCCATTAGTGGTCCTACAACACGCAATGAATAATATAAATGTTCAACCCTGGACACACCTAGGCATATTGAAGATTTCTGATTTATGGGATGGATCTAAACCCATCCCATTTATACAAATGCAAGTAAAATATAATCTTCCCCCTAGAGACCTTTTTCAATATCTAAGGATTAAAATTTTTCTATTAACTAGGACTATACTCAAGGACCATAATGTTAATCCTCTTATTGTACTATATAAAAAGAAGGGAGGGATCTCTAAATTTATTAAATTGATAGATTCAATGGAACAAGACTCCCATGCTACCTCCTTTACTAAATGGGAACGAGATATTGGGGAATCTTTTCCACTTCTGGAATGGGCTAAAGCTACACTCCTAGTTAAGCGCTGTATGCATAGTGTCTCTCTCTACGAAACACATCTAAGATAATATATAGACATAGCAGAAATGACCGCACTCCAAGGACTTTATAGAGATTTTCAAATAAAATTTAGCTTTTATTCAATCCATTTAAAAAGTCAACGTTTCAGCTCCCACATGGAGCTTTCATCAGGACAAAACATAACTTACAAGTGCAGACACAAAGAAATATATACCCCCAATCCCTCAAAATAATTTACCTTAATTGTGTACTCACCTAGCCATGAGACAGCTTGCCCTGCATTAGAGAGTAATGTAACTCTGAGTGTGGTGGCCATGTGTGCAAGGCCCAGAAAAGGGGCGGGGCTACAGGTTACTAAGTAACAATCCAACTGGACTGGTTGCTTTCCACTTTGTGTCCTAGTAGCTACAAACATGATTGAGCTCAGGGTAAAGTAGGAGTGGATACATATTATTAAGATAATATATAGATGGTATATGGTACCAGCTAGACTCTATAAAATATCATCTGTATATTCTAGGAATTGTTGGAGATGTGTAAATGAGGAGGGCACTATTTACCATATATGGTGGGAATGTCAGGGACTTACTAATGTAAAAATCCAAATGCTTGGTCTTGTTAACTCTATTTTGAAGGAGATAAAAGAAATTAGCCCTCAACTTTTTCTTTTTAATATTGGTTTTTCCAATATTGGTTTTCCTTCGCAAGATAAATATCAAAAATATCTTCTGACCCATATTTAATTTTGTGTCATTAAAATATGCATAGCTAGGGCTTGGAAATCTTCTATCCCATTACCATGGCATAATATTATGAAGCAAATAGACTATCAGCACAGGATGGAATCAAATCCCTTCTTTGGCACTAGGAATTTGGTCAAACTATGGTTACCCTGGACAAATAGACATTATAGAAGACAACAAAGATTGTGATCCTTTTTGAAGCCCCATGTCGCGCCTCAGGAATTTAATTTATTCTTATTATCATTTTTTTTTTTTATTGGTAAATTGATTATGTTTATCAATGTAACAGCTATACTATGGAAACCTTTGGTATGAGCTTTTTAATAATGGTTGGTTATTAAACAAATATAGTATGATTGTAAGATATACCGTATATATATATATCTGATGGTTTTCACTGAATATTGTATTCTATATAGAACCTTCGGTATTTAATGCTATATAATACCTCTATTGTTATATATTACCACTATGTCCTGTTTAAAGCAGTTATATTGATGTAATTTTTTGTTTTTTATATTTTTTTTGTTATTTTTTTTCTTCAAGTCAAATGCTATAAATTAAATACATTTGATGCTCTAACGTTAACAATTTTATGTTATATTATAACAATACCTCGGAAATGTAAATCCATACTGTTTATAGCCTAAACAAAAAATGTGCTTGTTCTAACATGTACCTCTATGTCTAACTGTTTTAATGCACTGGAGGATTGCCTTTGAGGTATCTCACATGTGAATGTTATAAACTTACGCACAACAAAAATAAAGAATTTAAAAAAAAAAGAAATAATGATGCTGATTGGCAAAGTGTGATTATTGACAGGCATACATATTAGCTCCCTGATGCTTCCTTAAGAGAAAACACTAGATTGGTTTAGATCACCAGTAATGATAATTTCAGGCTTGGGTCAAAGTGGCAGCCAAGGACATGACTTTGTCTAACACTCTGCTCCTGACGACAACGTCTTAACACTCTGAAATGCGCGTCAAGCTCTTTTATTTTCAATTTGTACTTGGGTAGCACTATGCACGTTTGAATTTTTGTTTTTAGTGTTCAAAGTTACTGGTTCAGGTAGTCATTAGCTCTGAGCGGTGCCGAGATATTTAGGGACAGCAAGAGATTTGTATTATTGGGGAATTTGTAGTACCTTTATCTTTTGAAACCTCCTGGTTCCCTCTCTGACATTTTGGGACACAGTGTACAGGGGAGGTTTGGATGAGTCTAATTTAAGGATGCAATCTTTCTACCTCTCTTTGTAAATACTCTCTTCCCTACCTGTCCAGAAGTTGTCACCACCCACCTCTTATACCCCTGTTTTAATACTGTTTATATTTTATTTTAAATGGACCATTATTTTTATATCATTGAGAATAAGGTTTAGTTTTTTTTTGGCCACTTATAATACTTTTGTGCTTCCTCCCAGTGTATCCCACAATTTTGGGTGAAGAATATATGTTTTTGTTTCCTTGATTATTTACTAGCACACATTAATTGTGTACAATGGGACATTTCGGTTCTCCTGAATATTTTTTTTCCAAAAATAGAAATTAATCTTTTAAATAACACAATACTTCAATATGTTGCTCACATAGAAAAAAAGCACAGAAAGTAACTAGCTGGAGGATTCAATTCCTAACCTTCATCTATTTGCCCTTTTTTTTTTTTTGTACGACCATAGCTGAAACTGCGAAATGCAATGGACGTTTGGAAATGTAATAAAAAATAAAAACATAAAAAAATCAGTACATGATTGGAGTATGTATTTTGGAGGTGTTAATTGTTTATCTGAATTGGTTCATGGTTTTAACCTCACAGTGACCGTCACAGATAGGCAATATATGATATCCCTAACACCCTTATATAATGTATTATAACTGGTTTCCTAGAATCAATCAAGTTTGTCATTAGTTTAATTAAACTTCCATTATATTATATTTAGACAATTTATTGTGCACGATATCATATATTGGACTGTGTGATATTGTTTTGAAAATCCTACGTTTCATATAACCCCTGCTACACTATCCACACAATGTCAGCTTTAATAAATCTTGACAAATCATTGATTGCAAAAATAGCACATAACGGAAAGTGCAACTCTATACATCTATTCCCTTGAATGTAATTATTGGAATCCCTGGTGAGCTGAAATGTAAAAAAAAGACATCTTGTCTGTTGTATCAAAATAACATTAGTAATTCTGGCAGTACATGTAACGTACCATGGAACAAATTTTATCTTGAAACGCTGGAAATCACGAGGTCAAGGGTAATCTTTTTTTTTTTTTGAAGCTTTTAGTGAACATAGCATAATCTTCATACTTTGAGACTCATAATGTACAACTGAAAATAAAAAAATGCTTTGTTTCACTAGAATAAAATTCTACCCATTTCTAAAGCATAGAAACATAGAAACATAGAATGTGACGGCAGATAAGAACCATTCGGCCCATCTAGTCTGCCCAATTTTCTAAATACTTTAATTGTCTCAAAGGTCTCGTTAAATGTGGCCATCCAATTTTAGAAGTCTTTTGTTTTCCCTTTTAAGTGTAATTTGTTGACCCAATTATTTTAGTTAGATACGTGTAATTTTCTTAAAAAATGGTTTAGACTTGTTTTTTGAATTGTTATAAATAATCTCTATGATTTTTGGCATTCAGTGTATAAATGTAGATATCGGTATATCTTCAGTAAGAAGAATGAAAGTCAACAGGATATGTTCTCAACAACTTGACTTTTAGAAATAAAATGCAGTATGTATCAGGCTAGGAAGTCTATCTCCAAAACGATGGCCCTCGGGCACTAAACATATCCTCTCCACTACAGCCTCTACAGCCTACATTACTGCCGCCAATTGCCTTATACTACAGCCCATACCTCCTTACACTTCAGTCCCAACCCCCTTCACTACAGCTCCTTTCTCTTCACATCACACACAATCTAACTCCTATCACCAACAAACACACACATTACTGCTCATACTTCCATATTATTATTTTATTATTTATCTAGCGCCAGCAAATTCTGTAGCGCTGTACAATGGGAATTCCATAGAGCTGTACAATGGGACTAGAGCCCCTACCATGCCACATGAACACACACTACCACCACATGCTACAGCCCCAATCCCCTACCCCCCCAAAACACCACAAATCCTATCCACAAACACAGACAACAGCACCTACCCGAACTCCTCAATCCCACAAGCAGGAGTCATGCTACAATACCCTTAGCATCTTAATAAAATGTATTGAGAAATCATGCTGAATGTCTAAATCACCATCATGGGGCACATAAGGAGCTAGCTATGGATCACTAGAGTAACAATCTGCCCTTTTCCAAAATTACCATGTTAATTTGTTTTTGACAATTATTGAATTGTATAATGAAAAAATAGGCATGCATTTTAAACTCAAAATACATTATCATTTTAGAATGTAAAATAGCTTGATAATGCTTCACAAATTATTTTTTATTTTTTATTATTTTATTGTGCAGATTATGTTTTCAAACTCTTACCACAATGGGCATAAAATAAAACTATGCATTAAAAACCTTGCATATTCTCAGTGCTGAGCCTGGACACACATGTCCCTTTTGTCTGAGATTAGTGGGAGTTAAATCTCTGAGCCGCCAGCTGCTATTTTCTATTAATACAGACTATCTCACAATTGGGATATGGGCAATCTGAACCTCATACTGTTGAGAATTTACTGTTGCAATTTTGCATCATCAATTCTTTATGAAATGTAGCTTATACAAATTTAATGCTTAGAACCCATGCACACATATTCTCTGGATGTTGTAATTACTTATATTCACATGAATTCTCACACTTTCCATAACCAAACAGGTGATGCCTTGGTGTGAGGCTCACCCTCAAGCTTGAAGGAGACATTCGCCTGATTTGTAATTGTATATTAACTAAACTATATTTATTGAATGCAGATCAGCGTACTGTGTAGGTAAATTGACAATTCAGTTTCAAATGGGATACATACAAAGACAGAGAAATTAAAATTGGGTGTTTAAAAAAGGTGTAATATAAACAGCATATCTCTAGAAATGGAAATGAATACCACTGTTTCACA